GGGGCAGGTCCCTGGTCCTTGGTGAGCTTCAGGTGGCAGGTATCTTTCCCCACCCGTGTTTCCTTCTGTGCTAAATCTCTTGCTATGGTATATATTTCTATGTTCAAAGGTTTAAGACACACTCTCCACTAATATGGCCTCATTACCATAACATAAAACTAGTCCCAAATGGGATTACACTCATAGGTATGGGGGTTTAGGATTTACAATACACCCTTTGGAGGAGCAGAATTTAAGTTCCAGGCTCATACCCAACTCCCTGTTTGATGTCTTCATCTAGAAAATCAAATAGGCATCTTAAAGTCAACATGGCCACACCTGAGCTCTCTATTCCTCCTCCTTTTCCCTGCCTCCTCCCCAAAGTCCACTTTTATAAAGCTCACTCAGTCCATTAGCTAATTCTGACTTTAATTTCACAACAGCTCCCTGCCTGGGCTCCCTACTTTCATCTTGCGCCTCTCTAAGAATACAGGAGTTTAGTAAAATGGAAGTCAGATCATGTTTCTCTTGTGCTTTAAACTTTCCTGTGCTTTCCTATCACAGAGCAAGCCCATCAACCCAAACCACTGCCACCAAGTTGATTATGACTTTTAGGGGTCCTATACAGGGTTTCTGAGGCTAAAAATCCTACTAGAGCTGATAGCCTCAATTCAACCCTATCTTTCTTCTGTGGGAATGGCTGGTGGGTTTGAACCACTGACCTTATATTTCCATGAGCCAGTCCCCACTCTTCTTCCTTCTGTTCTCTGGACTCCTTGCTACTTCTGGAACTTACTCAGGCCTTTTACACTTGCTATTCTCTTCTTGGAAAGTTACTTCCTAGATATCTGTAGATAGTAGATGGCTTATTCCTTGCTGTTCCTGGAACCTTTTGTAGAGCAGTTAGAATCAATTAATTATTTTAAATTCCCTCTCCTACTTTCAAAAGTGCCCTGCTTGGTTAAATAATTGTTCTAAAGCTAAATACTACAGTTCACAGGACCATATTCTCAGGGGACACCAAAGTCAATTGGCATGACATAGTTCACAAAGACAATGTTCTAGATCCTGATTTGGTGAGTTGGGGTCTTAAAAGCTAGTGAGCAGCCACCCAAGGCGCAACTATTGATTTCTCCCCGTATAGAAGAAAGAAGAGTGACAGGCGATAAAAATCCAAAGATACATGGGAACAATTCGTCCAATGGACTAATGCCCCTGCACACATGGTCTCCACAGCATGGTGACCAGAATTACTTGATGGTGCCAAGCTACTACTACCACATACTCTGAAAAGGATCATGTTCGAAGGTCTTGGCTAGAGTGGCATAAGAATATGAAAAAGTGCTCAAAATCATCCACGAGACTAGGTTTAACTGGTCAGATAGAGACTGGTGGGACCCTCAAGACTATGGTCCCTACCCTTCAGGTCTTGAACTGAACTCACCTCCACATTAGGAGGGAGGGGAAAAAATGAGGAGCTGATGCCAGGGGCTTAAGTGGAGAGCAAATGTTTTGAGAATGATGAAGGCATTAAATGTACAAATGTGCTTTACACAATGGATGTATGTATGGATTGTGATAAGAGTTGTATGAGCCCCTAATAAAATGATTTAAAAAAAGAAAATGTTGATGGCAACATAATGCACAGAGGCGACTGATACAATTGATGCATGGATTGTTATAAGAGCAGTAAGAGCCCCCAATAAAATGATTAAAAACAAACAAAACAAAAAAGAAAAAAATAATAATAACCAACCATTCCAAATCAAAAGGGCAGTACAGTGAACCCTCGCCACTTCGCACTTTGACTTCCGCGGCTTCACTCTATCGCGGTTTTTGCGTAACAGCACCCACTGCCTACACCCGCTCCTTCAGGGGAAAAAGACGGCGACCCACCTGTAGAGTACATCCCTTAAGTCATTTCATAGGCTATTGATTACAGTATTTGTAAGAACTATGTATAATAATACTGTATGTGAAATATGTAATACTGTAAACTAGATGCCATAAATAATATAATAAATGATCATTGTAACGTCCAAAATGTTTTACTGTATTTTCCATTTTTCGTTTAATAAATTGGGTAATACGAGTGTAATGGTGACTAAAGGGTGTTTTTTCATGTCTTCTATGCTCTAACTACGAAAATATTTGATTTACAAATAAGGAATCCTACTTCGCGGAATTTCATTTATCACGGTAGGGTCTAGAACCGATTAACCGCGATAAACGAGGGTTCACTGTATTTACCTAAACACAAAGTTCAGAAGGTCAGGAAATAAGGAAGACTGGAAACAGGAAACGAGGATGAAGTGGGATAGGCGATGGGACATTGAGGGAATTGAATCAGAATGTGTCTGAATTGCTGCATGTAAAACTATCATCCTCTCTGTAAACCTTCACCCAGTTCACTCTACAAAGTGTATAAAAATAATACATTTCATTGTCTCCTGAAGAAAAATGTGAAACTTCACAAATTCAAAATTCCTTCTTTACATTTTGGTTTGCCAGTGCTTCTTTGAAACAATTTATTTTCAGGTTTCAGCTGTAGTTCCTCCCCACTTAGGGTCACTAATAGTTATGAGTAATAAATCACTTGATAGTGGTACGTTTTGAGTTTTTTAGTAATAAGTCCCTACCTTTGAGGAACTCATATTTTAGTAAGAAAATCAAATGTATGATAAACTTATAATAATGTGATATGTACTCTAATAGAGAAATGTGTATTTACATTCCATATACATCTCTATAGACTAGAGCCTTGCCTAAGTGAGGTAGCGAACATCTCTAAAAGGTGATAAAGGTTTAATAGCAGTTTTGTTAAAAGGTTGAAGTGGTAAGAGCTAGCAAGGGGAATGATATAATTCATCAAGCTCTGAAAGAAACTTTTAAAAATGAATACCCAGAAGTATACCTAGGGCATAAATTTCAAAGAATTAAGACTAGGAAGGTAATACAATCTCACTTTGGGAGCCTTGGGAGTTGTAAGTACCAGTGTGACTATCAGATTTATATATTTAGGAGATCACACTGATTATAATACGGAGAGCAGACTGAAGGCGGGCAATAATGGAAGCATAGCATGGCTACCCCATCATACGTAATATGACTCCAACCTACCTTTCTGGCTTTAATTTTCCTCCTTGTACACTGACCTAATTGCAAAATACCCTGGGAATCATCGAGAATGAAGTGCTAAGGAAAGAGACGTGATTGAGTTTCGAACACATGGGTGTTTTCCTATTCAGCATTCCAAAGACTTTGAGAACTTCAGGAGAAGATAGACCACCGCTAGCTCTGTAACAATGCCCCCCTCCAACCCCGCCCCCTACACATAAGATGCATGTGAGGATCAGGTTTCATTTTGTGGTACATGGAGTGGGGGTGGGGAATGTCACCATGAGGCACAACCAATTCTATGGCACCTAACCACATTAGCAGTGCCATAAATGGCCACTGGGTGGTGGAAACAGGAAAGATACCAGTGATGCCAGAGGCAGATTCTTGGAAAATAGTACCCATGGCAATTAGTTTTGAATTGCCGAGTGATCTCTCATAGCAGCCAATGGAAAGTGCTTAGTGGCGCCTCCCTCAGGTAGCTCCCAGGGCACTTGCGATACCTATGATATACCTCTGAGTGATGCTATGAAAGGTTTGAGACCTGACTTTCCTTGGCAAGCACACAAACATAGTACAGGTGGGTACAATTCAGGTCGAATTGAAGCTCAAACCCAAATATCAGCATAGTCCTCAGGACTTTGGGGAAAGGAGGACTAGAAGCAAGCCTGGAGGACTGTGGTGGTCACCAAAGGTTGAAGGATGGAGTCGGAGGACTGACTGGGTCGGGAAGATCGAAAAACCAACCTCACTGCCACCAAGGTGATGCCGACTTCTTGGGACCCAGTAGGGCAGGAGAGACCTTTACGGGAGCTGAAAGCCTCATCGTTCTCCCATACAGCGGCTGGCGGTTTCAAACTGCTGACCTTGAGGTTAGTAGCTTAATCACTACATCACCAGGGTCACTGCCATTGAATCGATCAAACAGGGTGGAACAGCCCCTTTTGGGTAGTTCTGGAACTACCCCTGTGAGTAGGCTTTAACTTTATGAGCGGAAAGCCTCATTTTTTGCCCACTGGGAGGCTGGTGGTTTTGAATTGCTGATCTTGAGGTGAGCAGCCCAACACATAACCCACAAAGCCAACGGGGTTGTTCCTCCTTTCCTGAAGCTTACAGCTGGTCTGAGTTAGGCAGAGGCCAAATCCTGATATGAAATGTGTAGTTGACTTGGATTTTATTTAAAATGTAATGAGAAACCATTGTGGTGTTATGCAGGGTAATGATCGGATTTCTGCTTTGAAAAGATCACTTTGGCGGTTATGCTAACAATGTACCATGCGCCGGGCAACACGAGCAGAAGTAGGGAGACACTGAAGCAATTTCTCTAAGAGTTATTAGTGGCCTGGGCAAAGGTGAGAGTGGTGGAGATGGAGAGAAATGGAAGGTAAGTGCGGACTATGCTTGATGATGGTTTTGAGGTGAAAGGTGGAGAATTCCGTTTCTGTTGAGCAAGGTGGTGAGTGGAGTTATCATTTACAAAGATGAGGCTTTTCCAGGTTGATTTCAGTGGCTCCTGACGACAACATTGTCTCCCTAGAAAAGCCCTTTCTTGAGCCACCCAATGCACAACAGAAGGAAACCCTGCCCAATCTGGCGCCGTCCTCACAAGGGCTCAGCTACCTGGTTCGAGAATTAGGATTCCTCAGTACAAGCTGCAACAAGGCAAATTTAGGCTGGAATGACCTGCATTTATCAACTGTAAACTGGGTTGCCAAGGAGGCAGTGAGCCTCTGTGACTTTCAGCATGATCACCAGCGAACTTTCAGAAATCACAATCTCTGTTTGGCTTTGAATGCTCTCGTGCATAGTACCCATCAATCGCTCAGCGATCTCCTTCATAGTAGCTGATAAGCTTTAGTGACCGACTTTGGAAATAGCTGTAACACACACTAGGACTCTCACAGTCACATAATCCACCAGTTTACTAAATACAAGCATATTTTCATTCACATACAGCTAAATAAAGCATTTTTTCACATTTCGGTATAGTGCACAACAAAGTGAGGGAAAGAATACAGTACAGTTTATTCTGTGATATGAGACAATCTAATCCAACATGCAGTGTGGTCTTTGTTACAAGTTATTTTATCTTTTCTTTACCTAAGTAGTAAAATAGCTTCTAAAGCTTTATCCTTAGTATTATGTTAACACCTGATTTTTTCACACTTATTTTCTAAAACCCACTTATTGCAGTGACAACAGTGCTGAATTCTACTAAAATACTTTGTAACGTTTCTAGAACTTGTGTAAGCAATTTTAAGCTCAGCCACCTCTGCTGGATCTATGCTGAGTATTTTTAAACCTGCCTAAAAAATGCAAGGAATGGGAGAAGTATACATATAATGTATTTTAGTCAAGAAAACCATAGAGAAGTTTGTTTCTATCTTTTTTTTTGAACTGACAGAATCCAGTCAACTCTCATTTATCCACTGGATAATCTTGCTTTCAGAATCCTCTAAACTTAAGTTTTGTAGTTGATGACATTGTTTGTTAATCCAATTGGCCGTGTTTTCTGTTGTCTTCTACAACCCAGAGGTGTAAACACCCCCACCCAAGCCAGACGATGTGAAATGCGCTTGACGGTGATGATCAGTTGATGCTGTGAAGTGGTCCAGTATGGTTTGCTCATCCAACTCGGGACACAGGTGGCAGGACAGTTTTCCATCATTATCATTATTTGGCTTCTTAATTCTGGCTGGAGCCAAGTCCCCAATGTTCCGACTCAGTCACATTTATACTGAGGTTCCCTATTCTCTCCCAAAGCAATCGATCATTCTCAGGCTTTTCTATCACAATGGACATGAGAAACCTCACTCTGACTCAGAATGGTTTTCTTCCTGTGAAAAGTATGGCTTTGCCTTGCGGAACTGGCTACAGTCCCCCAAACAGTTTACAGCAACTCCTCTCTTCAAGGAGACAGTGGACGCACGCCAGCCATTGCAATGTAGTTAGTGATCTGGTCACCTGAGATTTAGGGCAAATAGGAAGCCGGTGTATGTGTGTGGCAAACAGGTGGCCAGGTCTCCTAGCCTCCTGCATTGGTTCCTTTCAATAATGTGTCCATTGTCTTTCCGTGATAAGAATACTTATCAAAGTGCCCACACAGTTCTAGTGTTTTCGGTTGTGCAATCATTCACTTGTTCGAAGCCCTCTTGTCAGCAATACCTGAATGGGCCTTAACTTTGATTCATTCCCAGGATCCCTCAGGATTATAGTTGAGTTGCCATCAATAAGAAAAACATCTCCTGACATTTCTTTAGAGACACATCCCTTCCCAAACCATTGTAAACCAGCTTGTTCACCTGACTGCAGGATGGTGCAATGAAAAGATAAGAAACTAGGAGTCAGGATCTTGACCTTGGCTAAGTCAATCTCCTGGCTCTTGGTTGAGCCACCTGTAAAACGGGGCTAATGACCTCAGAGGCCTGTTGTAATGATAAAGTAAGTTAACAGCAAGTGATATTGAGATGTAAACTGTAAAGTATAAGGTGTACAGTACCTCCTCTTTAGCAGGTGCTCTGTACACAATGACTGACTGAGTGTTTCCGGAGGCTCTTTTCCCTGTGTCGTTGCTGCCATGGGCCTGAAGGAGCAGGCAGGCTGTTTGTTTCCAGACTGCTGTTCCCAGGGCAGTGTATGGTGTTCAGGTGACAGGAACTTGCATGGGAAAAACATTTTTTTCCTCTTCCAGCTGGTCATTCTATTATACGGGCAAAGACTTTGGGGAATTATATATAATAGTGTGTAAATGACCTCTTTTTTCATAATGACCTCATTTTTATTTGAATGCCAGACCTTGAAAGGCCCACTCTTCACTTATAGGTGATTGCTTAGAAATGAATTGGTATCTTTTAGCCAAACCCAGCACAGGGATTTTACGTAGGGCATTCTCACTGATTAAGCTGACCTTACAGTCATCTCAGTTATGGTCATAGTTCCCAAGGTGATACACTCCCCGCCTCCCCCCATATAGTTCTTTATGTTCATGACGTATGGATGAGCTAAAATACCATGAGACGGTTGTCCTGCTTGTAGGTGTAGTTTTCTGGGGCCTAGCTCCCCAAACCCTAACCCCCTAATAAGTGGTCCACAAATGGCACACAGCCATTGCTCAACCAGGGCCACAAAACAGTCCCTCAGTCATAGTGCTCAGGCCTCACTAACCTGCCAGAGTCTCCCCTGGGAAGGAGGTGTGCTTGGTATTCTCTAGGTATCCAAATGGAGTTGGAGTTCTCTCAGCCACACAAGGCTTCTGTGTACTTCAGTTGCGTTGGTAGGTTCCGGTAGCAGAGCATGGCTTGGAACTAAGAGGCCTGACTAGCACAAACATCTCCTCTCTGATTTGACGACCTCTTCTGAAGAGTGAACTACGTTTGGTACAAATCCACTCTTCACCCCTTCCCAGCCCTCCTGGATGGTGATCTCCCCCCTTTTGACCAGCTCATAGATGTCTCTTGTCAGGTCTGTGAAGGCTTTCTCCACATTAATGGCATCGCGAGCTGACGTTTCAATGTACTTCATCCCGTATGCAGCAGCCAGTTTCTCTGCTTCGTGCCGAGTCACTTGCCTCTGAGTATCCAGGTCACACTTGTGACCCACCAGAACAAACACAATTTGGTAGGGCTGAACGTGTACTTTGGTCTCTTCTAACCATTCATGGACATTCTGGAAGGACCGGCGGTTGGTAATGTCAAATAAAAGAAGACCACCGACTGAGTTCCTGTAGTAGGCACGGGTGATGGATCTAAAACACAAGAAAGAAGTAAAGGGTAAAGGACGGGCCGGCACTCTTGCACTGCACTCAACTGCAGCTAGTGGAGGCTGGTACTTCTGGGGCCTGTCTCAGCCCTTTGCTCAAATTGCATTTCTTTTTTAAACAAGGGAATAAAGGGATTGTCTTGCTTTTTAAAACCGGTCATGTCACAATACCACAATCGGAGTGATATGTGGATTTCAAATTGGGCCAGACTTTGAAATGAAGACTTCTGGAGTCAGTACCATTTCCTGCCTTCAGGAAGAACCACAACGAAGTGTCCCTCTCCTAAAGCTGAATAACGGACAGAGAGGTCCTCTTCCACACGATGATCTTTCTCAACAGACTTGCATCATCATGAGGAAAAGGCACGAATTGGTGTCCGAGTGTGCCGTGCCCCCGAGAGTTCATCACAAAAGCCAGTCGTTGAAACGGGGTATTAGAAAAAAATCAATATATGCTCAGGGAAAGTTCACCCAAATTACAACGAAGACTTAAGAACCAATTTTTAACAGCTGACAGTAACTCTCAATATACAATGTTGTTGTGATTTTCCAGGGCACGTGAGCATGGGATTGGTACGTGTGGTGGAGGGCTTGGGGGCAGTGACTGTAAAGGCCTTGGGGGAAGCTGGGGAGAGCAGTACCCTCAGCCCTCCTTCCTGGCACATTCCAGAGAGCCGCAGATTCAGGAGCAACCATCTGGGAGAACAACCAGCAAAACCCAAATCTCCTAGAACGTACTGGAACCTTTCTCATACAGAAATCATTCTCTTCACACAGTGGCCATATTCCTTCCCATTTTCCACTAGAGCTCTCTTTTCTGATGCACTTTTGTTGGCTAGTCCCATTGGCCGATGTCTCATCCCTACCTCTGTGCATTCACAGTTGCAAAGCCTCCATTTGGAAGCACTTTCTAATGGAAATGTATTACTACACCTATCACTAATTCTTCCAGAGCAGGTGACTGACCTTTGATTACTCTTTCCTTGTACCCTCACAACGGTTCACAGCTAAGAGCATATCCCAGAGACCCTCAGCTCTCAGGAGAGCACAGAAGGGCCTGAGTTCCTCCAGATACACTGGCTCAAATGGTATAAGAAACTTGCGCTGTTGAGGAAAACCCATTGGCTGTCTTGAATCAGAACAGCCTTAGGCAGAAAAGAGTAGGAAGATCCAAGTTACAAACATGTGCTCACTTACTTTTTCAATCTGTACATGTCAACCATCTGGGTATCTTAGTCTAAAAGGTTGTCCTACACATGTAAGCTTTCCTTTTCTCAACAGTTTCAATTCTAACATTGGCTAAATTAATGGTACTATCAATAGAATTACCACATGAGCCATGAGGATGATTTATAAGTTTCCCTAATAAAATGATAAGGATGGCTAGAGTCTGGTGTCTGTGTGTGTGTATGCATGTGTGTGTTACAATGGAGCAAGGAGGAAGTAATACTGGTTACCAGCAAATCCTGACTCCTCACTGAAAAATGGAGGACAGGTAATCAACCGGGTTCTGGGGAAGTCAGTGATGCCTACATGTGTATGTTATGGATTTGTGTCTCAAAGAGAAATATGGAAGTCCTAGTTACTGTACTTATAAAGAGGACTCTGAAAGGAAGGTTTTCTTTTGTTATGTTAAAGAGGCCTCAATAGGGTGGGTCGACCTAACTCTAATTCCTTCTAAGAGGTCTCTTGTAAAAAGGGTAGAAGAGATGCGGAGATACATGCCCAGAGGAAGATAGACACCATGCCAGACAAGCCAAAGCATGGTGGGGATCTTTAGCCTCTAGAGCTTCAAGGCGCCAAGTTTCTGTTCATTTGTGTATTTTTGTTATTTGCTATGGCAGCACTAGGTCATTAACAGGGCCATGGTTAACTGGGCTTAGTAACACTAGGCTCTAAGGTTTAGTTTCAAAATAACCAAAGTTTTCCCTTTAACATAATATTATTTATTTAAATACTTTTAATGATAATACATCTAAAGCTTACTATGTATTTGCTATATTACTTAATTAGAAGAAACTATATATTTGACCTTCTTGATTTTATGAGCCTCAGAAATATTTCATGATATCTTGCTAAAAGCACACCAGAGCTTATTAGAAGACATAGAGCTAGTTGCCTGTATAACAACTTGTTGTAAACCACTACATTTTTAGATCTTTCCGTTTAGGTTCATCTCTTTGGAGGAAGAAGTCAAATAATGAAGGACTCAACTATTTACGGTTAGGCAAAATGGCTCAATGTTAACAGAACAAACATTGTTCAAGAATTTAAAGCCCAGCCTAGATTATTTTAAAGGTCAAACTTTACAAATGAGTTCAAGCCTTCAGACCAGGCAAATGATCCCTGGAGGCTGAAAGCATTTTTAGTTGTCAAATGTTTTAAGATTTGTGGAGGACTGTGGGCATACCAGTGAAGTAGGGCTTGATTTGTGAAAAGATGAATTGAGGAAATTTCTAACCCTTGTCAAACCCTCAGCCTAAATTAGTATTTTTATCGTTTGAGAATATCTAGCAAGGACAATTCCCAGGCCCTTTCTAAATATGGCTTACGGCCCAGGGACTGTAAAATTAAAAAAAAAAAATATATATATATATATACAGAGAGAGAGAGAGAGAGATCTTCTAGCTAAAAACTAAAACCCCTTTGTATAGCAAAAGAAATAAATAAGAATCAAAAAGTCAAAAGACAAATGGGGAAATCTTTTACACAAAAGGGTTTGCATTCTTAATCTAATCAATCAAATTAATATGATTCAATAAGTAATACTCAGTGAGTATGAGCAGGCTGGTTCATACAGAAAGAAAATCCAACAAACAGGAAAAGACACCTTTCTTCACTTACAACATGAGAAATGCAATCACAAGTTCAAAGTGAACCTGAACAAGGATATTGTTTGTAGAAAAACCTTGTTGGAAACAATCGCTTCTCCCCATTTCTGGTCAACTAACGAATATCTCCTATGCTCAATTCTTTTGGTCAGAGATCATTAAGGCTTTTGCTGTGGTTCTTGCTGCTGTACCAAACTTTAGCTCAAATTGCTCCCTGCAAAGTTTTGTGTTCACTCTGCTCTCTCTCCTTTTTGGGTGTTGTCTTGTCTTGTCAGGCCCCATCTTCTCCAAGTAGCCTCCCTGGTGTTCAATTACCAATGATACATGCTACCAAGGAAAAGAAAAGGGGGAAGAAAACATATCCATTCATTACTCATGATGGGTTGCAAATAAAAGCAAGACACGCTTTCATGTTGATTTCCCCCAAGAAGGAGGAACTGTAGCGGGTATGTTCACTATGGCATCGTTAGAATGCTTTGCCCCAGAAATAAGCAGTGTTGTCTGGCGTGTAGTAGATGCTTATCTAATATGTACTGATTGCAAGAGGAAATCAGTCAATTCATCAGTGTTTGACTCTATATTAGGATGACCTGGGACATTTTGGAAAGTATATGGTATAAGACTACCGCGGCCTAAGGCCTGAGATCACAACGGTCAATTCCAACTAGTTTGTTAGCTTTGGCTTGAAGGGGCCAGTCAGGTTGGTGGAGTTAGTGGGGAGCAGGATGTGTTCCTGAGCGGCCTTCCTTCGTTCTCTGGGCGCCTCTCTTCCTGCACCGAATTCCCCGACCCCCTAAGCCCCTGGACCCTCGGTGTGGCCCACCTGCGGCGACCTGAAAGGAGGACCAGGAAAGCCTCCCTCCCCCGGAGTGGGGGGCTGTGCAGTCCCTCCAGACCCTCCCACTGTGCGTGCGGGCCCACCTGAACCTCTCCTGACCCGCGGTATCCCAGATCTGGAGCTTGATGCGTTTTCCCGGCTCGATCTCCACGAGGCGGGAGAAGAAATCCACCCCTACGGTGGGGTCTGAAACCTGGGCGAAGCGGCCTTCGGTGAAGCGGCGAATCAGGCAAGACTTGCCCACCGTGGAGTCCCCGATGACAATGAGCCGGAACTGGTACAGCCAGATGGCCTCCATGGCCGCGGCTCCGAACGGCTCCTTCCCCGGCCCGGGGGCGACGCGAGAGGACGCCCCGCCGACCTAGCTCGGCCGCGAGGGCATCGCTGGCCCGGGAGCCCGCGGCGAGGTAGGCCCAGGCGCCCGCGGAGCCGAGGGACGGATGCTGCGCTCGCAGAGGTGATGAAATGGCAGCAGCATCAGCACCACGCACTCTGACTCATCGCCGGCTGCCAGGTTACTGTAATCCCCCGCGTAGCCGCGACTCGGCCCCGCGGCGAGAGCGCCGCACTGTCTGGAAGAGGAGCGCAGCCTGAAACTAGCCAGCGACCTTCCATTCCGCTTTCCCCACCCACGCGTCTCAATTTCCCATCGCCCCATTGTTTATATTACAGAAGGCATGCGTGTTTTCCACGGCGACGAGCGCAATGACACAAAATGTACACCAGAAGGGACACGTACAGCACCCCAGAGCCAACCCAACATAGGGATTAGAACACACCCAGCCGCCCCGCCACAGAACCAGCACAGAAACATACCTGTCCGAATCTCCGCAGAGATGGGATCAAACCGGACCGTCACTGGACACTTGCTTCTTTTTTTTTTTTTGACACTTGCTTCTTTCAATTGATGACATCCCTCCACTTTCAACTTTGCTCCAAAACGTTGATCAATTTAAATGTACGAAAGAACCACTCGCCTGCATTTGTTCAAGTAGGTTCTCTCCGTTCTTACCAAGCTGATGTAGTGTTTTTTTGTTTTGTTTTTTAAGGTATTACTCGATCTCACATTTCCCTGGCGACTACTCGCATTCAACATCTTTTCTAGTGGATTGCCCATTTGTGTCTCTTCTGGGAATGGTCCTAAGTTGGAATTTTCTCAATGACAATACATTTGGTTTTGCAATCCTTTATTGTTCTCCTGCTCATTTGTAGAACATCTTTATATAGAAGACATATTAACCTTTGGTCTGTCACAAAGGTTGCAAATATATTCTCCGATTCTATCTTTTGACTTTAAAAATATGTTTTAATACACAACATGATTTGAACTTTTGTTTAGTCAAATCTGAATTTTCTTTAGGCTGCAATTGTTTTTGTTATCTTGCTGATGAATTATTTCCTAACCTCATTTTAATGAAAACATTTCTCCAAAATTTTCCTATTTTTTGTTTTGAAAATATTTTTGCATTTTAGTTTTCATCCATTTGTGATTTTGTTTTTGCATGTAGTAGGATGGAGTTCTAGTTGCTTCTTTGTCTAATAGCTAACAAGTCACATGACCCTCAGTTTATTTAACAGCCAACCCTCCCTTTGCAAAGTCACTAAGCATTGCTACTACAGTGTAGTTCATACATGCAGAGGCTTTCCCAAACGAAATGCGCTTAAACTTGTCTGCGGTTAGTGGATGGTGGCTTGCAGACCAGTTCTCTTAGCAATACCCTTGAGCCCATGACTGCAGCCACAGTGTCCAGGCATCTCTTTGAGGCCTGTCTCTCATTTGTTGCCCCTCCACTTAACCAAGCAGGATGTCCTTCTCCAGGACTGGGTCTCTCCTGACAACATGTCCACAGTCTGTCAGACGAAGTCTCCATCCTTGGCACTAAGGAGCACCCTGGCTGTACTTCTTCCAGCACAGGCTGATTTGCCTTGGAACTCTCAAGATTCGTCACCAGCACCATCATTGAGTGGCATCGTTCTTCTTCACTCTTCCTTATTCAATGTCCAACTTTCAGAGGCATGTGCACAACTGAAACTACTATGGCTTGGGGCAGGCATACCTTCGCCCTTGCTTTTCAGTACTCTAAAGACGCCTTGCGCAGCAGATGTCTTTAATGCGAGGCTGGGTTTGATCTCTTGACTGCTGCTTCCATGAGCGTGGGTTGTGGATCCAAGCAAGAAAAAAACCTTGAAAAGTTCAATATTTTCTCCATTTATTAGGATGTTACCGATTGGTCCAACTGTAAGGATTTCGGTCTTCTTTATGTTGATTCATAACCCATTCTAAACGCTGCCGTCCTTGACTTTCATCAGCAAGTGCTTCACGTTGTGGCATCTGCATATCACAGGTTGTTAACAAACCTTCCTCCAATCCTGAGACCTCATTCTTTTACATACAATCCAGCTTCTCTGAAGATTTGCTCAGCAGACAGATGACATAAACATTGTGAGAGGACACAACTCTAATGCACCCCTTTCCTGATTGTAAACCATGCAGTATTCCCTTGTTGTGTTCGTACAACGGTTTCTTGATCTGTGTACAGATTATGCATGAGCATTAAGGTGTTTGGGAATGCACATTCTTCTAAAAGCTGTCCATAGTTTATGATGATGTATGCAGTCAAATGCCTTGGCCTAGTCAATAAAACACAGGGTCAACTTCTTTCTGACAATCTCTGCTTTCGGCCAAGATTCATCTGATATCTGCAATGAAATCTCTTGTTTCACCTTTTCTTCTGAATCTAGCCTGAACCCTCTGACAGCTCCCTGCTAATACACAGCTGTAATGCCTGCTGGGGGATCTTCAGGCACATTTTACTTGTGTGTGATATGAATGATGTTCTTCTATAATTTATGCATTCAGTTGGGGCATCATATTTTTGGAATAGTACAAAGACAGATGTGTTCCTGGCGATTGGTCTGGTAGCTGTCTTCCACATTTCTCGGCATAGGTGAGTGAGGGCTTTCAGTGCTTCTTCAACTTGCCGAAACATGTCCATTGTTATTCTGAAAGGCCTGCAGCCTTGTCTTCGGAGAATATACCCTCAGTTCCTTCAGTGAGCATTTTCTACCTCTTGAAATAACTGAACGTCAACTAGTTTGTTCTTTTAATGCTTCGGCAGCCACTATTTTGTCAATGGAATCTTTCCATTTTTGCAACTCAACCTTTGATGGTTTTCTTCAGTTCTTTTAATTTCACATATACCGAGCCTACTCTTCCTGGTAGGAGCCCGGGTGGCCTCATGGTTCTTATTGGGCTGCAGTGTGCATGGTCAGTGTTTCAAAACCACCAGCCGCTTCACGGGAGAAAGACGGGACTTGTTATTCCCTTAAAAAGCTACCGTCTTGAAAACTCACAGGGGAAGTTCTAGCCTGTCCTTAGAGGGTCCCTGTGAGGTGGCATTGACTCAATGGCAGTGAGCTTGGTTTGCGTTTGATTCGTTTTGATTTTCTAACTCTTGGTTTGTGTACATTTCATTACAATTTTTTAACCTTGTTTTCTCGAACTCCTCTTTGAAATTTTCTGTTCAGCTCTTTGACTTCATCATTTTTTCCATGTGCTTTAGCGATGAAGAATGAGTTTGAGTCTCTTCTGAGAGCACCTTTGGATTTGTATTTCTTTCCTATATTTTAATGACCATTTGCTTCTTCATGAATGATGTTCCTGATAACTTTCCACAGTGCATCAGGTCTTTGGTCATGAGTGTTCAGTGAGTCAAATGTGTTCTTGAGATGTTCTTGAAATTCAGGTGGGATCGGCTCAAGGTTGTATTTTGGCGCCTGTAGACTTATTTTCATTGTCTTCAGCTTTATCCTGAACTTACAAAAGAGCAATTGATAGTCTGTTCCACAATCAGCCCCTGGCCTGGTTTTAGCTGCTGATAGTGAGTTTCTTCCATCTTGCCTTCCTACAGATGTAGTCAATTTGATTTCTGGGTCTTCCTTCTGGAGAATTCCATGTGTATGTTGTTGTTAGGTGCCATCGAGTCGTGTATTGATTAGATTTCTTTGAAGGAAGATGGATAGAATCTGATCACAGGCAGCATTGTGCTTCAAGATTGATTTGGGCATGTCCTTTTTGACAATGAATGCAATGTTATGCCTTTGACTGTGTTATTCCCAGCATAGTAAATTACATGCTTTTCTGATTCAAAATGGCCGATACCAGTCCATTTCAGCTCACTATTGCCCAGGGTATTGATCTCTATACATTCCATTTCATGAATGAAACATGTATGGTGCCATTTATGTTGTTGAAAGAAAGGTAATTTTGCAAGACTTGTTCGTAGCAAATGCCTTTTTTTAACACCACAAAAGGTGACTACACACAGATGGAGTACACAGAGTACACAGAAAGCCAATTGACCACATCTGTGGGAAGACACTCTGGAGAAGCCAAAACCAGACCCAGGGCTGACTGTGGAACAGACCATCAATTGCTCAAATGTAAGTTCAGGATTAGGCTGATGAAAAATTTTAAATGTCCACAAAATCCAAAACACAAGCTTGTGTCTATCCAACCTGCATTTTGAGAACATCTCAAGAAGAGATTTGACTCACGGAACACGAATGAGAGAAGACCTGAAGAGCCGTGGGAGGACAGCAAGACCATCCTTCATGAAGACAGCAGAAGGTCCTTCAAAGGACAGGCAAGAAAGAAAAGACCAAAGTGAATCTCAGAAGAGATTCTGAAATTTGCTCTTGATGATGGCAAAGAACTCCTCCCACTGTTATGGCCTTAGTTTTACCTCACTCATCTTGCTAGACCTGTGTATGTACATTGGTACAATCAAGATCTTTGGATGCATGAAATCCAAGATAGATAAACCCCTCAGAAACAGTAATCGGAGCAATGGCTCCCTGACAGTACAGGAGGGGAACAAACAACAGATATTTAGGTGAAGGGACACATTGGATGGTGTAAGTTATGGCATCCGCCCCAAATAATAATTATAATAACATATTAAGGGTTCGGGGGTGGCAGGGTGAGGGAGTGAGGGGACAAAGGGGAGCTGATATCAAGGAGTTCAAGAAGACAGAAAATGTTTTGAAAATGATGGCAGCAATTGTACAATGATGCTTGATCTAATTGAATTGTGGATTGTAATAGTATCTGTAAGAGCTCCTAATGTTTAAAAAGTTGGTTCTTTGACAGGATTGACAACCCACTGACAAGCTTAGCAAAGAAAAAGGAGAAGATGAAAACATGAATAAGAAACCAAATGTGCGATATCAGAACAGAACTAATTGAAATACAAAAAGAGAACTCAACAGAAAGAAAGACGGCCCACCACTTGTCTTCCGGGTTGTTGTACTGTGGTGGCTGGCATGTTGCTGGACATTATGCCACCAGTATTTCAAACATCAGCAGGTCACCCAATGGGAACAGGTTTCAGCAGAGCTTCCAGTCCTGTCCATTTCTGAGAGACTAGTCACTGAAAACCCCTGTGACTAGCAGCAGAGCCTTGTCAGACATGGTGCCAGATGAGCCCCTGCCGTGGGAAGGCTCTCAAATTACTACTGAGGAGGAGCTGCCTCCCCAAAGGAGAGTCAACCACGATGACACGATGGTGTCAAGTTCTCAGGACCTTCATTTGCTGATGGGCAATGACTCAAAATGAAACAGCTGTCAGCATCCATTAATAATGAGAATGCAGAAGATACATAGTATGAGAATGGGAAAATTGGAAGTCATAGAAATGGAATGAAATGCATAATGATTGCTAACCTAGGCATGAATGAGGTGAAATGGGCTGGTATTGGTGCTTTTGAATCGGACAGTCATATAGTTTACTAAGGCACGAATGACAAGATCAATAAGAATGTTGTCATATTCATCATCCAGAGGGACATTTTAAGATCTATCTTGGAAGTGATATTAGGTTGTTACATCTGGTAAAGAAAGCTTGTCCTAGATACTGGCTGCTCTACACGTGCCTCCTTTTGTCTTATAAGTGGCGGTCTTGTTTGAAAATTCTGGTTTCATGGGGGTACTTTCTTTTTACCACAATTTGGTATTATCTTAAGAGAGCTGAGGCCCAAGAACAGAATGTGGGTCATGTGCATGTTTTAGGGCCCCTCAATGTCTTATGTTCACATCTTTCTTGCCACTGCTGCCTATGCATGCTGCGGATAAGCTCTGGACCTGGTCGCTGTAGTTTTCCTCTCCAAAGGGATTCTGCCACCAAATAGAATCGACTTCCCTCCTCCCTAGGCTAGATGGGCTTTCAGTGGCTGTCCTTCAGTCAGAAAGTGGGCCCTACCTCTGCTTCATTCATTTAACATTCAGTGTAATTTCTTTTCCTGAGGATTTCAGGCAGTACCATTCAAAGAACTGTAAGTTAGTTTTTACTACCTAACAAACCAACTGGAAAAAACTAGAGGCTTAAAATAACATTCATTTATTCATCATATCTCTTTATCTTGACTCTGTAGGTTCCAGGGTCAGGACTCTGGGCCCCTTTTCAACCGAGGCTTGATGTTAACACGTTATTAATTGCCTTACATTCTTTAACCTATTAAGACACTGCTCTACTTAAATTTTACCTAAACTTTCCCCTTCTCTCCAACCCTATAGTAACCTTTTATTTTCCTTTATCCCAGTAGATATATTTGGGTTGTGCTGGTAGTTTTCCCAGATGGTTGCTCCTGAATCTGCGGCTCTCTGGAATGTGCCAGGAAGGAGGGCTGAGGGTGCTGCTCTCCCCAGCTTCCCCCAAGGCCTTTACAGTCCGTGCTCCTGAACCCCCCAGCACACCTACCTTTCCCATGCTCACGCGCCCTGGAAAATCACAACAAAATAGCCTTCCACTCCCCAGAAGACCCTTGTTAAATTAAATGAATAACAATAATGGAGAGCGAGACACCTGGTGATGATAAATGAAAAATAGAGTATATTACATACTTACAAATACTTTTTCCTCTCACAAATTTATTTTTATTTTAAAAATATTCTGTTTCAACTACTAGCGTTAGAAAATAAAAATAGATGGCTTTGGCTAATTTGAAATTAACATAAACTTTGGCCCATCGTGCAGTAGAAGTCTGACTCTGAAGAAGATGCTGGATGCCTTTCTAAGATCATTCATTTAAGTCTGCCTCTCTCTCATGTCCTCACTCTTCAGAAATAAGCAAGTGTCTGATCCTTCTTGGAAGAAGTATATCCAGAATGCTACTTAGAGGCAAGGATGGCAAGACTTGGCCTCAGGAACTTTGGACACGTCATTAGGTGAGACCAGGCCCCGGAGAAGGACAGCATGCTTGCTAAAGTAGAAAGTCAACGGAAAGGAGGCAGACCCTTCACAAGATGGAATGACACTGTGCTTGCAAGACGGGCTCAAACAACAGCAATTGTGAGAATGCTGCAGTAAAGACTGGGCAGTGCTTCCTTCTGTTGTCTATGGGATCGCTGTCTGTTGGAAATAACCTAAGGGCACTTCGCAGTAGAAGCAGCAGCATATTAACCTAACAAAGCTGTAGACTTGTTTTAAGAATTTGAGTGTAGCTGTTTCTATGCACCGGTTGGAATTGTAACTCCACTTACTACATTTTTATGCAATTAATATGTATATTACCTTTTCCCCCAACCACATACCCCCCCATATATTATTTTTATAAGTATGCTATGCCAATTAAAAATATACATGTTGGTGACCTTAATTTCTATTTCTGAGCACATGGAAACTTCACTTAGGGTATTTGTCATGAAATTGTCTCCCCCCTCAAAATATAGGTGCAAGCGTGGCTAGATCATGACTCACAGTATTGTGCGGTTATCCTCCATTTTGTAAACTCTACCCTCTACCCGTTAATAAAGCAGGATCCGTGTGGGGATGTATCTTGAGCCACAACCTTACAAGAGGGTGTGCCTCCAGTCATACCTTTACTAAGTCACACACTTAGTCACACGTCCTTTGCTTTCACGAGAGCAAAAGGAGAGAGAAGCAAGCAGGGAGGGGGAGAAGAGCTCGCTTGCAACCACGAAAGCAGGAGAAAGAGCAAAGTCCATCCTCGGAATCCGGGATGCTGTCAGAGAACCTCCTAGGAGCCCCAGGTCCACCCAGCTGTTGGCAGGAGACCAGGAACTTCCCCCAGAGCCCACAACGCAGGTGAAAGCCTTCGCCTTGAGCTCGTGCTCTGAATTCAGACTTCTAGCCTCCTCGACTGTGTGAGAATACATGTCTAGTTGTTCAAGCCATCCACTTGTGGTGTTTCTGGGTTTGTATGAAGGGCTTTTTAAGAGGTTATGGGAACAATGGAATTTAAAGAAAACACAATGTTTCACTATCTTTTTGAAGCCTCTCCATATTATCTGAAATTTAAGGCCAAAGTACTTACTAGTAGATCAAAGGTGATTCACAAATTTTAACTTTTATGAGTTCATAATAAGCTAGCGTCATCATTTACGTGAGTGGAGCAGTGAAACCAGATAGTATGAATGCATGGAGATCTACAAAAGTAACATTATCTTTGCACATATAAACAAGATTTTAAAAAACATCAACAGAATGATCAAATTTACTGGTAATATAGGAGAACAGGTGAAAGAGGCTGAAATTCATTTCAGGAACTCTCATGTGATATGGGCATTATATGAATGGATACACTATGTCAGGATTGGTTTACTTAAATTTGTCATGTTTGTGCATTACATGTATGGGCACATCAGTTCCAAAAAATACGGTATGTAATTTGTGACTTCAGATATCTACTAAGCTTACAGGCAATACATTTTACAAGTTCAAACAAAGCAAAACATCTTGATGCTTTCCATGTTATTCAAGGCTGTAGTGGTTATATTATGTGACTGAAGAAAATGTGAAGATCTGTAAAATGTACAATGGACAGGTATGGCTAACCAGATGCAGATAGTAAATCATTCTTTTTCATGAGAGTTGAATAGAGGAGCAGGGTAGAAATAGTTCCCATATTCTTGTTGCCCAAAGCCTTTCTAATATGATAACAAATGCAATCTGATAAGCGAGAGAACATTTCCCCCTGAAAGAGCAGCCCTAACTCTTCTGTTTAGACACACTTGCGTAAGTATTTTCGATCTCTTTCGCTTCCGGACACGTGTGGGTAAATTCTTCACGGGCATAAGCATTGTGGAGATAGCGCCAGACGCCTGAGTATTCTGCTGGAATGTCAAAGCCACGGTATTTTTTAGCAGCAATCTTAAGTTTTGGAAGAAAGAAGAAAAATCCGTTAGTTGTATGTAGAGAGATGCCTCAAAAGGCAGGTACTATAAATCTTAGATTTAGGATTTCAATATTTTGTCTACCAATGAAGACAAAGCTACATGCTTGCAATCATATAATTATATTGATCCTGTTTTTAATTACGAAGATATTTAGAGTAAGGGAATATTGAAATAGAGCACATAGCTTTGTCTCCAGTACACTAAAAACTTATCTAGGGCTATAATTATACCTAATTTCTTGATGTAGTCACTGTGTTGGCACAGAGCCTGGAATATTGTACCGGTCAATAAATATTTTTTTAAATTAATGATGGAATCATTGTTATTATTTGCTGTGCTCTAGGTACAGTTCTAATCATTTTACATGATTTGGCTTATTGAGTCCGCTCAATAATTTTGTGAAATAAGCTAGTATTATTGTCTTATTTTAGAGAAAGGCAGTGGAAAATATTTTCTGATTTAGAAGGAAGAAAAGCAGAAGCTTTTATGCTTGCCAGAGGAAGCCATTCTGAATCCTCCTTAAGGAGTAAAAGGAGATGACGACGACGATGACGGCGACGACACCATCACCTAACCACTTGTGTTTTGCTTTGTCAACTCACAAAGTAATCCCCAGAGTTTTCAGTTTGCTTTATAAACACTTACTCTAATAATGTTCAGTTTGGGCAACAAGTTGCAGTCAGCCAATGTCAGTTGATCTCCATCCAAGAACAATCTTCTAGAAACGACGAGTTCCTCAGCACTGTCTGGGTCAATTTCATCCAGAAGTGGGGTGTTTAAGTAGTCATCCAGACGCTTAAATTCTCTGAGCAGAGATTTTTCAAAATCTGAGACAATGAAGTCATGGATCACTTATAAACCCTTTGTCTTCAGGTGTAAACCCATTCTCACTATGCTTTTCACATGTTTCGACATTTCGAAATCTTGTCTACACTGGCTTTCCTCATCAAAAGAGCTATTTAGAATGTTCCACAGCCCACTGATAAGATATTCAGATGTTTAATCAAATGGTGAGTGAAAGTGTTCTTGAGCTTTTCTTGGGAGGTGCATTGGGGAGAGAGTCAAAGAAAGGAAAGTGGTGATATGTTAGTGTTCAGCACAGAAAGCAGAATGTGGGGAATGGATAGCTTTCATTATTAACTTAGGAGGGTAGTACACAGAAGAGGAAATCTGTTATGGGAAATGGTAGATCCTACCATGTAGGGGAATCTGAACAGTAACATGCCAATGCTATTAATTGAGCTGTTGGTAATTTCCATACTCAATCCTGGATTCTAAATCCCATAAAGCTGAATGCAAGGGACTTTTAGAAGATAGATCTGAGAAGAAGAGATTAGGCTGTTCCCCAACAGAGGCTATATCTTCAGGAAAACCCATTTTAACAGCGAAAATGTATGAACCCGTGAGAAAAATAAACTTTAAAAAGGGGGTCTTACTCTTATTTGCTTCCTTTTGTGTATTCTTAATGTATGCAGAAAACTTGGCAAAGAGGTTACAGCCCACGTCAAAAGATTCCTTGTACTTGGGGCTCAGGTGAGGATACCTTAAAAAGAGACACCACTGAGTAATCATCCACACATACAGAACAAGACAGCAACATGATGTCTATAGGGACAAGATTGGGAAATATAGCTTGCATTATACTGAGAATGGAAGCTTTAGAAAATCTTACTGGACATTGAAGGTCTTGAGAAATATCTCATTAGAAATACAAACTTTTACTAATCTCCGAATACTTCTAAAGTTCACTGACTAATAACTTGTCGAGTTCCAAGCTTATTTACCTGTACAATGTTTCAAATCGTAGTTAGATTCCCATGCTTTCTCCTAGCATCCTATTTGGGAGAGATATGGTGACAAAACTATATATTTTCCAAGATAAGTTGTAGGAAAAATACAACTTCAAATATTTTAACTTAGAAAAAGGAATGAGGATGGAGAAGCTATAAGACAAGGAAGTAAAGTCCCAAATATATTCAAGTGAGGAGGGAACTAATAACCTTGAAGATTACAAAGTAATTCTATCACCGATTGCCTGCCAATAAATGTGAAACCTAGAAGACAATTGTCAACTATCCTAAGATGTATATTGCTAAACAAAACAGACTCAGAATAATGAATCTCAATAAATATACAGAGATTAAAGAAATAGAATCTATACTTTAAAATACCTTCACCATGACAAACATATAAACATCAAGATCAGATATATATATTCCTTTTGTAAGATTTTTTTTTCTCTCTCTCTTTTTTAATCATTTTATTAGGGACTCATACAACTCTTATCACAATCCATACATACATCAATTGTGTAAAGCACATTTGTACATTCATTACCCTCATCATTCTCAAAGCATTTTCTCTCCACTTAAGCCCCCGGCACCAGGTCCTCATTTTCCCCCTCCCTGCCTGCTCTCTCCTCCGTCATGAGCCCTTGATAATTTATAAATGATTATTTGTCATATCTTGCCCTGTCCGATGTCTCCCTTCACCCACTTTTCTGTTGTCCGTCCCCAGGGAGGAGGTCACATGTAGTTCCGATCAGATATTTTTTTACGGGCAAATTTTTCAAACCATTAAGGAAAAGGCAATCCTCATTTCATATAATTTGCTCCACTGAAGATAAAAAAGGAGAATGCTCCCTAGTTTTATTTTAACAAGCTTCCGTTAACTTGATGATAAAACTAGATAAAAACAACATTAGGAAGAAAAATATAAGCTAATATTACTTGTGAACATAGATGCAAAACTAGATAAATATTGGCAACTAAATTCAGCAAAGTACAAAAATGTAACTCCAAATAACTAAGATGTCATCACATTCTTTTTTTTCACACTTAAAAAAATCATTTTATTAGGGGTTCATACAACCCTTATCACAATCCATACACACATCAATTGTGTAAAGCGCATTTGTACATTCATTGCCCTCATCATTCTCAAAACATTTTCTCTCCACTTAA